TGAAATGAGGACCCAGACTATGGGGGCGATATGCTGACTCTGTAAATTGCTTAGAGAGGGCTGAAAGCCCTATGAAGCGGTATATAAGTCTAACTGCTATTGCTATTGCTATTAATTGTCCTCACTGTTAGAAAGTTTCTCCTTAATTCCAGGTTGCTCCTCTCTTGGATTAGTTTCCAAATAATTTTCTCTTGTTTTGTCTCCAAATCCACTGAATACCCGACTTTGCTATTCTGGAGTACCATCTGCTTCCAACTGTTCCGCCTTGCTTTTTTGCTCACGTGCCTATCTTTCTTCCTTTAGTGGCTCAGCATCTCATAGCCCCACAGGACCGGGCATTAGCATTACTCTGCTTTAATGGCAGCCATTATAGTTTTAATACGTACCTGGGTGAGTTACCATATGTCTTTTCAATTTGTAAGTGTCCCTACTAGCATAGGAGCACACCGTACAACTGTAAGGACGTTCTCCTGTATGTGAGCTAATGTGGCGCTTCAATTTGCTGGCCTACAATTTACGAAAGAAGATTCTGAATTACAAGAGCATGGAGGGTGCTGCTGAAACAATTCACCATTAAAAAATAAAGTTGACTTTTTAGAAATGCTGTTAAGTGCTTGTCACTAGAATATGCCGTTGCAAGTTCTAAAGCAGGGGTGTCAAACTCAAGCCCATCGGCTGGATCTGGCCCAGGGGATGCTTAGATCTGGCCTGCAGTCCTGCCCTGGAAACAGCAAAGGATTGGCCCGCGGTGCCTCTGCCAGCCAAAAGGAAGCCCGGGCAGGCTGCGCGTGGCTTTACCAGGCTCCGTTTTTGCTGGCAGAGTGCTGCAGGAGGCCGTCATGACTGAAAATGGAGCTCGGGCAGGCTGCGATTGATCTCCTCGTGCTGTTTTTGCTGGCAGAGGGCTGCAGGAAAATGTTGTGCCTGAAAATGGAGCCCAGGTGGGCTGTGCGTGGCCTCCCCAGGCTCTGTTTTTGTTGGCAGAGGGCTGCAGGAGGATGTCATGGCTGAAAATGGAGCCCGGGCAGGCTGGTGGTGCCTCTCCGGGCTCAGTTTTCACTGGTAGAGGGCTGCAGGAGGCCAATGTGGCCAAAAATAGAGCCCGGGCAGGCTGCACATGCCCCCCATCCCCGAGCTTCATTTTCACTGGCAGAGGGCAGCAGGAAGTGATTGTGGCTGAAAACAGACCCTTGATGAGTAACATGGAGCTCGCCATGCTCCCTGGCCATGTCCCCCACTTCCGGTCAAACACAATCCTGATGCAATCCTCAACCCTGTTCTAAAGCAAGGGTCTCCAAACTTGGTAACTTTTTAGGACTTGTGGACTTCAACTCTCAGGATTCTAGGAGATGAAGTCCGCGAGTCTGAAAGTTACATACAAAAAAAAAAATGTTCAAGAAAGTTGCAGCCCAAACTGTTTCTACTTTGTGAAAGCTGCATACAAATGATGCACAAGTAAGTTGTGCATAAATGCCATATTACAGACAGTTATAAAGAAAAAAAAGCACGCAGTGGCTTGACTATGCATAAAATCCCTATAAACTATGGCTAATTATGTAAATTGCATAGCAAACCTGAACAACTGGTGATTTTGTGCGTATATGCAGCATGATAGACAACAGATATATACAGATCCTCACATCCTTTTATATTACTCTCCTTTTATTTAATACTAGCTGATAACCAGGCGTTGCCCGTGTATTTATTTATAGCGGGAACATGTCTGGACCAAACATAATTTCTAATGTTGGATTTTCCCCCTTATTAGACAGAGCCCCCTTATGGAGTACTGTGAAGCTGTTACCATGGCTACTCCACTGCGCTGTGCAGTAGAAGCCATTTTACAGAAGTACAGTAGAAGTCATTTTAAGGCACAACAGGCTGTATATTAATGGAACACACACCCCGAGGGGTGTTAGGGGTGTCTAACTCCCACAGCATTTTTTTTCCCAGAGAGTATGTCGTCTGTGTACCAAGTTTGGTTGAAATTGCTTGAGGCTTTCCAGAGTTATTCTGGGACACACACACATACACACACACACCAGTGGTGGGTTTCAAAATTTTTTAGAACTTCTTCTGTAGGTGTGGCCTGCTTTGTGGGAGTGGCTTTGCGGTCTATGTGACTGGGTGGGAGTGGCTTGCA